TGTGGTAGTCATTTCACAACGTATGCATATATCAAAACATAATGTACACTTTAACTATGTAAAATTTTGGTCAATAATTCCTCATAAAGCTGGAGGAAAAAAAGAAACCAGAAAACAAAAGAATATCTGCTATGTGATTTCATCTCCATGAAATTTAAGATATACAAAATTAATCTATGGCAGTAGAAAGCTGGAAAGTGGGTGTTGGGGGTAGGGAGAGGGGATTTGTAAAAAGGAGTATAAGGAAACATTCTGGGGTGATGGAAATGTTCTATATCTTGGCTGGGTCATGGTTACATGGGTTTATACATTTATCAAAATTCATTGAGCAGCACTCTTCTAATATGTGCAATGTAAAGTATATATCAATAAAAATATTTTTTAAAGGTCCTCACTCTATCATTTTCTTATTACTAGTAATATTGATTTTGTATTTTTGAAATGGCCCACTTGTCTTCCTGGAGCTTAAAGTCCAGCGGGGGCTATAGAGCAGCTAACAGACAACCATCATACTATGTAGAAAGTGTGATGATAGCCAAAGTTAAGCGCACCTTGGAGCTGCATAGGAAAGCCCCTAACTCAGGTTTGGAAGAGTCAGGGAAGACTCCTGAGAGAAGATAAAGTCTAAGCTAGGAACTGAAGGATGAGCAGAATTTGTTCAGGCAAATGGAGGGGAAGAGGGAGGGAAGTTTTCCTGGCAGATGGAAGAAGAAGGGAGGAAAAGAGATGACCTGCTCACTTTAATCCTACTATCAGTGAGAGTTTGATGTGTTTTAACTCAGGAAGTAAAATAATTATTTTCTGGATATTCATTCTGATGGCAAGATTGGAGACAAAGAGACCAGTTGGCAGGTCAGGCACTGCTGGCTAGAGAGGCTGGTGTCCTGAATGACAGAGACATTGTCAAGGAGACAGAGAGAAGTGGACAGGTTTGAGAAATACTTTAAAAGTAGAACCTGGGGTGCCTGGGTGGATGTCGGCAGAGCCTACAACTGTTGATCTCAGAATAAGATCTGTGAGTTCAAGCCCCATGTTGGGTGTAGAGATTACTTTAAAAATTTTATATATTAAAAAAAAGGAACTCAAGGGATTTGGTGGCTGATTGGTTTATGGGAGGTGAAGAGAGGGACGAGTAAAGGATGCTGCCTAATTTACGAGCTTGTTCAGTGCATGAAAAGGTAGTGAGTTTGGATAGTAAACAAGAGAAGAGGAGCAGATTTGGGAGGGATTATGGTGAGTTCATGTGGGGGCATACTGAGTTGGATTTGAAGAAGAGAGAAATAAGGGCTAGAAATACGGATTTTGGAGTCATCAGCATAGAATTGTTCACTGAAGTATTAGGACTTTATGAGGTAGCCACGTGAAGGAGATACGTGTTGCGGACGAAATGACACAAAGGACAAGACACACACAAAAGACACACACAGACACAACTCCGGCCGGAGGAACAATTCCACGCAAGCCCCTCTTGCGGTTTATTTTATACCCCGGTAACTGGATGCAAACTGAAATTCACAAAATACCTTCTTTTACAAAACAAGGGCAAGTAGCCAAACACATTCCAAGGACAGGGGGGAGCAAAGGGAGGAAGTGACCACAACATGTTTACTAAGAGGCCTGCTCACAATTCCAGCCTTCTCCTTATTTCTAATGAGGGCATGTTCCCTCGTTTGCAAGTGGACCATTAAACTTGGATACTGTGTGCAGGCCTCCTGGCAGAGCATCCTGTTTGCAGGAATGCCTTGCCCAGGCAGGGAGCCCCGTGTGCAGGCACATCCCTGCGTCCCTAACCACGCTTTCTTGTGGTCACTGTTGGGCTCCCACAATACGGTTGGCAAGTTGGTACTGGTTGTTGGCAGGAGACCTTGTATCTTCACACGTGGACCTTTCATAAAGGTTCTTGAGGGCACCTGGCTTCCCCCAAGAACTAGTGACTCAAGAAAGAGCCAGATGAAAATAGCAATATCTTTAATGACCTGGTTTTGGAAGCTAGAATCTGTCCTCTCTATAATATCCTATTGGTTTTATGGGTCAGTTCTCTTCAGTGTGGGAGGGGAGTACACAAGTTATGAATACCAGGAAGCAAAAATCACTGGGGTCTATCCACAATCTGGATGGCTGTTTTCATCTGTTTTCCTCCAATGACACTAACTTTGTGAAGAGAACAGGCCAGTTGGGTTTTAGATTGTCCCACATTCTGGATTTGTCTGATTGTCCTCATGGTGTAATTTGGCTTAGTTGCCTCTTGTCTATTATTTCCATAAGCCAGAAGTTAGATCTGGGTTTGATTAAATTTAGCTTAACATTTTTGGCAAGCACGCTTCATAGGTGACATTGCATATGTCATATTGCATTGTAACAGTAACAAAACTTCAAATTGGCCCACTACTAGTGATGCTAAGCGTGATACTTGGTTAAAGTGGTAACCTCTGAATGATCTGTTGTAAAAGGTAAGTTCTCTCCTTTGTATTATTAGCTAATAACCTGTAGGGTAAATAACACTTTGGGACTGCACAAATAGCCGTTACCTAAAACTCTTACCTGATGTTTTTAACATTTTATATTACTATTCCCTCCACTTTACTACCCATAAATAACCATTTGATTCCTATTTATCTATCTAGCGGTTAAGCAAATACAATCATTATTTGTACATTTCACATTTGTGAATTTACCTACTTGATAAAATTTATTTGTAACTCCCAAATCATGTTGGGCACTTTCATAGTCATTCAAAGACATATATGGAGCAGTAAATAATTTTCGTTGCCCATCACACACGTCTGTGGCTGAGACTGAACAAGATGACACTTTGCTTTCTTTTTTCATCTCTCATACTATAAACAGTTATCTATTTCAAGGAATATTTAGTGCTACATTTTCTGCACTTTTATGATTTATTTTTGGGTGATTTTCCTATTTAAAATGGCCTCCAAGAATACTGCTAAAGTACTTTCTAGTGTTCCAAGGCCCAACATGTGCTGTGGGGAGAAAATATATGTGTTAGATAAGCTTCTTTCAGGCATGAATAGTAGTGCTATTGGTCTTGAGTTCAATGTCAATGTATCAATGATATATATTAAAGGTGTCTTGAAACGGAAGCATCCATCAAACAAGGCTATGTATCTATCCATTGATGAAAATGTTGTGACCAGAAGCTCACAGGAACCTAGCTCTATATTCCCTCTCGTAGAAATGATTAAGTATTTGCTAATTCAGTATTGGTGGTTATTTTATGCAACACAACTACCTCAAATAATGAGAATCAGACTGTATGTTTACCTATTTTTGTTTCCTTTCCCTTCTTACATAAAAGTTCAATTTTTCTTTGCAATTTTTTGTCTTCAGAATATATTTTACTGAAAATATACAGGAAACTGTGCTTCATAACGGTTTTCTCCCTGATGTTATATTTCCAATTTAATGCACAGTTAAGTGTATTGATTTGGGTGTGCTTTCAATTTTAAGTTTACTCGTTTCCTTTGTATCTTTTTAATATGTAAGACATATAAATGGGTCTACAGTTGAAAGTCTTACTAAAAAGAAAATTTCATTCTATCCTTACACCCTCCTGTCCTTTACAGTTAACCATTTTTTTTCAGTGTCTAGTATAACATTCAAGATTTTTAAAATACAAAACCAAGTAAACACATATACATGTATATAATCTTATTTCCTCTCCTTTATCATACTTTTTTAAAAAATTGTTTTAATGTTTTTTATTTCTGAGAGAGAGAGAGAGAGAGAGAGAGCGAGCAGGGGAGGGTCAGAGAGAGAGGGAGATACAGAATCTGAAACAGGCTCCAGGCTCTGAGCTAGCTGTCAGCACAGAGATGGGCGCGGGGCTGGAACCCACTACCCATGAGATCATGATCGCAGTTGGATGCTTAACCGACTGAGCCACCCAGGCGCCCCCCCGCCCATCATACTTTTAAAAAAGTAAATCATGTACGTTAGAAGTCACTGTATATCAGTACTCAAATTGTCCTCGTGTTTTATAAGATTGCATGTTCACTTATAAGCACTCTATGATTTTGTTCAACTCACTGGAACAAGCGTTTTTAAAATGTGGCAGATTCGAAAAAAAAAAAATGTGGCAGATTCGAGGCGCCTGGTTGGCTTAGTCGGTTAAGCGTCCGACTTCCGCTTAGGTCATGATCTCGCGGTTCGTGGGTTCGAGCCCCGCGTCGGGCTCTGTGCTGACTGCCAGCTCAGAGCCTGGAGCCTGTTTCAGTCTGTGACTCCCTCTCTCTCTGACCCTCCCCTGCTCACGCTGTCTCTCTCTCTCTCCTAGAAATAAATAAAACATTAAAAAAAATAAAATAAAATGTGGCAGATTCACTTGCTGGAATCAGACTAAGTTCACATCCTGGCACCACCACTTAGTGAAGGTTTCACCTTGAGGGAAGCATCTCCCGTCTTTGCGTCTCAGTTTTCTCATCTGTAAAATGAGGGTGTTGAAAAAAATAGCACACAGCTCATTCGGTTATGATCAATATGACAGGTAATATATTTCAAGCGTTTATGACATTGCATTGAACAAAGTAAGTTCTCAACTTAAGTAGAAAGCGGGGTGGGTGGGAATGGTGGTGATTTTCATAGCAGCTTCGAGCGAATGCTGGGGAAAACCTTGTGGCGACACAGAACGTTTCCAGAGCCTGTGTGAAGTAGAGACTACACAGGGGCTCCCGGGTCCTGGATGAGCTGGATGGGAGTCCATCCCGGAAGATGACAGACGCGCTTGGGGTAGAGAAGCACATTCCCAACCAGACACCAGGAAAGGATGCTTTCGCCTTTCAGTCTCGGGGCTACAAAGGAGTGTGATGTCGTCTCCTCTTTAAGACTACAGGGTCACGGGGTACAGCGCCAGGCACGCGGAGTCGCTGAGCTCTCGGCTTGGGGCATGGGGCCCAAGCTGAGCTCGCGGCTCCCAGGCCTGAGCCGGGGCAGAGGGCGGGGCTATCCCGGGTGGGGGCGGGGCGGGGGCAGGGCAGGGGCGGGGCAGCGGCCGTGGCGCCAAAACGCGAACATGGCGCCGGAGCGGCTAAGGAAACGGGCAATATCCGCCTTCAAGCTGCGTGGCTTGCTGCTCCGGAGGTGAGTCTTCCTGGGGGAGTTTACGGGAAGGGATAGGAGAGCCAGGTCGTCGGCTTGACCTTAAATTACAGAGACCCTTGCAAAGGTCTAGAGTGAAATCGATCTGGCAGGGTCTAAAAGCTTCAAGGACTTAGGTTTCCCCGACGTTCGCGTGGAGTCGGAACGGTTCTCCCAGGTAGGACATGGTCTCCTCCCGCAAGTGCCACACTGCGCTGGAGAAGCCGCTGTCTGTGTCGCAGCACCGGTTGTTTGGCATGGGACTTGAGCAATCTCAGCTATCCGTCCCCCTGACTCCTCCCCCTCGACCCCCGCTCCCCACCTAGTCTCTGCCACCGCAAAATGGGAATAATAGAACGTCTTACACGTAGGTACGGAGTCATCAGTTGAGCGACCTGGGAAAGCCCATGTTTGTGTCCGTAGTTATCAACCTGCAGTTTTGTGAAAATTGTGAGCCCTCCCCTTTCTCGACTTTGCATTAGGCATTACTCTTGAGTGACAATTCCTAGAGAGTTAAAAAGGGGCTAAGTTTGAATCATGTTAGTAGATCTCCTCCTAGGTCTTCCTCCTCTTCCCCCGCCTTGAACAGTTCCTTTAGAACTTCTCCGATAGTTAGGTTTCCTGGCCAGAATCATGTTTTCTAGTCCTTACAGAATGCACTTTTCTAAGATTTTTTTCTCACTAAATCTGTTTTGTTTTTTAGAATACACTATTTTTTACATACATATTTAAATACCTGCTGGATAGAATGTACTTTTTGTACTAGGCTTTGATTGCTCTTGCTATATGTGGAAAGTTTTGGGTTTTGGAATAATGAGTTCTATGAAACTTAAAAAAAAGTTTTAATGTGTATTCATTTTTGAGAGATAGAGAAAGAAAGAGCAGGGGAGGGGCAGAGAGAGAGGGGGCAGAGGATCCAAAGGCTCTGTGCTGACATCAGAGAGCCCAGTGTGGGGCTCGAATTTACAAACGTGAGATTGCGACCTGAGAGCGAAGTCCAACACTTAAACTACTGAGCCATCCATGCACCCCTTATGAGACTTTTCTTAAATTAATTAATTTTTTTAAAGTGGGCTCTATGCCCAACATGAAGCTTCAACTTCAAGACTGAAGGATAAGAGTCACATGCTCTACAAACTGAGGCACGCAGGCACTTTGCCTTTTATGAGACTTTACCTTTGATTTTGGATTAGTGGTGAACAAGGGCATGGGAGGAGAGAAAATAATGACCTGGGAGAAAATAATGAATTCTGTTCACTTCATCCCTGACATTTTGAAAATATGAGCAATTGATCAAATTAACTGTTCTCTTTTCCCTTAGAATTTGACCTAATATTAAACTGTCATTCATTAATTAATTGAATCAGAAATACACTGCAATGCTATCAATACAGGATCTGGGCCAGATCTATATAGCTTTACACGCTTTAGTCTATTACAAGATCACTGTGCTGGAGCAAGGAGTACAAGAGAGAATAAGACACTGTGGAACTTGGGGGATAGATAGTGTATTAGTTATTTATTGCTGTGTAACAAATTACCCCAAAACTTAGAGGTTTAAAACAGTGCATACTTACTATCTCATGTTTTCTGTGCATCAGGAATTCAGGTAGGCTTAGCTGGGTCCTCAGCCTCAGGGTCTCTCAATCTCTCATCTAAAATATCATTTGGGCGAGATTTGCTTCCAAGCTCATTCAGTAGCAAGATTCAGTTCCTCAGAACTATTAGACTTGGGGCCTCAGTCCTTGCTGGCGGTTGGCTGAAGGCCACCCTCAGTTCCTTGCCATGTGGTCCTCTAATATGGCAGCTTACTTCATCAAAGCCAGCAAGAGAGTTTTGCTAGAAAGACAGAAGTCACAGTCTTTTGTAATCAACGAAGTGACATATTGTTGCTTTAAAAATTTTTCTTTTGGGGCGCCTGGGTGGCTCAGTTGGTTAAGCATCCGACTTTGGCTCAGGTCATGATCTCACTGTTCTTTGGTTGGAGCCCCATGTCAGACCCTGTGCTGACAGCTTCTTGGAGCCTAGAGCCTGCTTCAGATTCTATGTGTCCCTCTCTCTGCCTCTCTTTCTTGTTCTCTCTCAAAAATAAATAAACATTAAAAAAAAACTTAAAAATTTTTTTTTCTTCTAAAATTGCCATACAGTAAAATGTTCCATTACTTTTACTATAGTCTGTTGTTAGAAGCAAGTTACTAGTTCCAACCCACACTGAAGGGGAAGGGTTACACATGGATGTGAATACCAGGAGGCCTGGATTATTAGAGGTTTTCTTATAAGTCTTTCTGTCATGGATATTAAATAATTCAGTTGTTTAATTTCAACTGTGAAAAGGATCCCAGGAAAGTGGTAATATATAACAAGGTGACTACTCTAAAGAAGTCCTTCATTAAGGAAGGGGTTTGAGCTGACTGTTCAAGATGAATAGGACTTGACTAGATGAAGAAAAGAGTGGGGAGAAATGACCATATAAAGTCTCTGAGGCAGGAGAGCACTGGGGGAGCCTAACAAGATTTGGTAGGAGCCAGGTCCTGTATAGGTCTACAGGCTTTGAGCGATCCTAAGAGCTGTCCCAATTCACACAGAATGTGTGCACTTTTAGGGACTTAGTCATTCAATATATATGGATCACCCTCAGATTTGTTTGGCATGGTTCCAGTTTTCAAGGGCCATCATCTATGATAAATTGGAGATGTAATACCCACACATGACACAATCAATAAGCAACCCAAGATAAGAACAATTAGTGGGATGACTCTAATGATAACATTGATGAAAAGTGTGAAGTTGTGTGCTACAAACAGAATGGCATGCAGTTAGCTAATTGTTTAGACAGCGTTCATTCTGAGGCCTATTGCTATTTAAATCAGGGATTCATGCAGATTTTTTTTCTTTTTAAAGTTCGGAATTATTGAGTTCTTTTGGAGTGGCAGGGGGTGGGGGAGAAATTCATGTGATTTCAATATGAGCATTGCTTCTATGACTTTGTATGTCATAGTTTTTTTCTGGTCTAATTTTTTAATTTAAAAATTGAAAACTGATGAAATTACTAGAATTTAATCAAATGCATTAGCAAATTAATGAATATATACTTACGTGTCTGCTGTGTTCAGGACATTGAAGCAAATGAAGTCCTGCCTTAAATGCAAGGAGATTAAAAAACTATAAGGTGATAAATAGTACAAGACTAATGTGACGTATCAGATCTGAGATGTGTAGGAATTTTAACAATTTAGGAGGAAGGGGAGATTGCAGCAGAGAAGGTTGACCTAGGAAGTCTTCTTCTTCTTTTTTTTTTTTTTTTTTTAACATTTTATTATTTATTTTTGAGAGAGAGAGAGAGCAGGGAAGGAGCAGAGAGAGAGGGAGAGAGAAAATTCCAAGCAGGCTCCGCGCTGTCAGCACAGAGCCTAATGTGGGCTCGATCTCACGAATCGAATTGTGAGATAATGACCTGAGACACAAGAGCTGGATGCTTAACCACTGAGCCACCCAGGCACCTCAAGCCTAGGAAGCCTTCTTAAAAGATGGATGTGATTTGGGGCTTATATCGTTAGGGTACAGAAGGAAGAATTTATTTAGAAAGGGCAGGAGAGATGAACACTGCTTGCAGAGAGGAGTGAGTAGATCTTAATTTCAGTGCTAGATTGATGAGTGCCAGTTTTTGACATCAAACTTTTAACCTCAATTACCTGCCTCGTCTCTTCTTTCCTTCTCAGTGAAGCTGTTAAGTACCTCACAGAAGCCCTTACGCCTATCAGTGAAGTAGAGCTTGAAGATGCGCTGGAAAAGATCATTGATGCTGTTGAAAAGCAACCCTGTAAGTAACAGTTCCCAGTAGCTCTTAAATCGTTACTAGAGTTCTACGTTCTCAATTAGATTTGTGGATTTAAGTGGAAGTTGAAGATTCCATATTAAGATTTTCCAGCATTATGAGACACATGCGAGGAAGCACTACTTCCAAGGGGTAACTTCTAGTTCTGTTGGAACTCAGGACATTCCCCACAGGCTCTTACAGTTCTTCCTCCTCCTGGAGCTGTCACTGCCAGCTTTCCTGCACTTGACTTTTTTTTTTTTTTAATGTTTATTATTTTATTTACTTATAATTTTTTTAATGTTTATTTTTGAGAGAGAGACAGAGTGTGAGCGATGGAGAGGCAGAGAGAGAAAGAGACACAGAATCCGAAGCAGGCTCCAGGCTCTGAGCTGTCAGCACAGAGCCCAACATGAGGCTCAAACTCATGAACCATGAGATCATGGCCTGAGCCAAAGTCAGATGCTTAGCCGAATGAGCCTCCCAGGCACCTCAATGTTTATTTATTTTTGAGAAGGAGAGAGACAAGAGTGTGAGTGGGGGAGGGGTAGAGAGAGAGAAACAGAATCCGAAGCAGGCTCTAGGCTCTGAGCTGTCAGCACAGAGCCCAACGGTGGGGCTCAAACTCACGAAGTGCAAGATCATGACCTGAGCCGAAGTCGGACACTCAACCGACTAAGCCACCTAGGCGCCCCTATGGACTTGACTTCTGATTAAGATCTAGTTTTTACGGTCACATTTGTCTCTCTGTGTACCTTCTACTTTGTCTTACATAGGTTTGGTACTCCTAAAAGTTTGGGGGAAATAAATTTGATGCTGAAGTTGGACACTTAACCAACTGAGCCACCTAGGCGCCCATCCCCCCCGTTAAGATATGAACATATGAACAACAATCTATCCATAAGGACATCTAATCTACTGAAATAATGCTTGTAAAGTCCTGAGCATAGTGTCACACTTTTACTAAGGGCTTAATAAGTGGTAGCTATTGTAATTGTTACTATCACGCCTATGGAAACATAGCAATTGTGATAGAAAGTTATACTAATGTAACCTTCTTAGTATTTGTGCTGCAGAAGTGAGCACCTAAGGTAACCTCTTAATCCTAGGAGTTTAAAGAAGTGTTTGCATAACTCAATTTATGTTATTAAACAGTATTTAGAAAAGTAAGGCATTTGACTTGTATTATAATATTACAAGTGTCTTTGAGTGTAGAAGATTAAGGTTTTTGAGATACAGCTTTTGTTATTGTTCTGACCTAACCCATTTTTTGTCATAAAAACGATGTAATGAGAGTCTCAGGGTTAGTGTTTGCAGATTATTTTAACGGAAAAAGCCACCTGTGGAAATAAGTAACTTTTATGCCTGTTTCTAAAATTTGACTTTGAAATTCTCTTTTCAGTGTCATCAAACATGATTGAACGATCTGTAGTGGAAGCAGCAGTCCAGGAATGCAGTCAGTCTGTAGATGAAACTATGTATGTGGATAAAATGAACTCTTCCCCCCTGCTGGAGATGTCATTAAGTGCTTATTTTAAATTATTTTCTTGGGAAATAATTAGTGGTCAGCATTTCTACAGTGGTTATTTCTTTAGTATTTCTTTTTTACTCATAGTTTGTATTATAAACCTCATTAAATGACTCATCTTTACTATTTTTTCCCTGAGACTTGAGATTACAGTATTGTTTATGCCACTACCAACTTTTGCCACTACCCATCTGACCTGACTTTATATTCTGTATGGTATTTGTGGATTGAATTGAATATTTAGACATATACTTTGCTTTTGCTCTTAGGATTGAATATTTAGACATATACTTTGCTTTTGCTCTTAGGAAAGCATTCAGCGACGTATGTTGGGTCACATGGTGAATGGCAAAGAGGGTGGAACCTTAGTCCACTAAGTCATGCTATTACAGCTTACAAATTTATATGGCAATAATTTTTCTGAGTTTTACTTCCATCTTTCCTCTTTTGATGTCTATTTATTTTTGAGAGAGAGAAAGAGAGAGCAGGGTAGGGGAGAAGGGAGTGGGGGACAGAGTTTCTAAAGTGGGCTCTGCATAGACAGCAGAGAACCCTTTACAGGGCTCGAACTCACAAACTTCAAGATTACAACCTCAGCCTAAGTCCGACACTTAACTGACTGAGCCACCGAGGAGCCCTTCCTTTGTTCCTTTGAATATAATATGTCTTTCTAAATTCGACAGGGTTTAACTGGGAGGAAAACAACTGGGGAAATGGACAGAGTATTAACTTTTTAACAGTTTTTTCCTCTTTGAGGCAATGGAGATCATTGACAGGAGTCGTTACCTTATTAGTATTGCTAAGGCAACAAAGAAATTGAAGAATTTTAATTTTAACTTTGCAAATTCATTATTTAAGATATTAGAGTACAGTGACGTGCCCCTAAAGCCATCAAGAGAAATTCAAAATGATTGTATGGAAGTGTAAGGATTATAATCAAAATAAGCATTGAGTTAACTTTTTTTCTGTCTAGATGCCACAGTTAGCCAATGTAGAGGCAGGCTAAAAGGTAAATAGTCTTTGCAACATTAGTTGTTAGAAAGTTACAATATTATCACATAAGAGAGGCTTTCATTTTTATAGATGAAGAGGTGGGGTGACACTAGATCTATCCACTAGAAAATGGCAGACTATTCTTGGAACCTAGGTTTTCTTCAAAAGTCCACCAGTTCTCGGCTACTCCACGCTAAGTGCCGCCATCAGTGCAGCAAGAACGTTTTTGACCATACTCAGTCTGGGAGATAAATAACATTTTAGGGAAGTTTTTTTTTAGGTTGGAATATTTATACAATAGTGCTGTGAGTTTTTTAAAAACCTCTTTCAAATGTGGTTATGTTGTTAATACTATCTGAAAATAAGTTATTTTGTTGAATTTCCTTCTCTAACACTGTGTCAAGGATATGGCCAGTATTTGGGGGGTTCTTTTTCTATTTTATGCCTGGTTCCTGGGACTTTTGTATAATATTTTGGATTAGAAAATTGTTGGAAATGAATCATATTCTTTAATAATATTATAACTCATAAAAGTAGTACCCATGGGGAGAGACTTCTTTTAAGGCATAACTATTATACATACATGTTCCTTGTCAACAGATGACATTCTTAATTAGAAGTTAACTTGATTAGGGGCACCTGGTTGGCTCAGTCAGTTGAGCATTCTGACTCTTGATTTTGGCTCAGGTCATGGTCCCAGGGTCGTGGGATTGAGCCCTGCATGGGGCTCTGCACTGAGCTTGGAGCCTGCTTAAGATTCTCTCTCTCTCTTCCTCTGTATCCTTCCTCCACTCGTGTGTGCTCTCTCTCTCAAAATTAAAAAAAAGTTAGCCTGATTTTTTTTTTTTTCTGGAGATATTGGCAACACTTTCTTGTATCTGAGAAGAAAATTTTACCCCCATATTATGACACTATAAGAAATTGTGGGGCGCCTGGGTGACTCAGTTGGTTGAGCTTCCAACCCTTGGTGTCGGCTTGGGTCATGATCTCATAGTTCGTGGGATCAAGTCCCCTGTTGGGCTCTGTGCTGACAGTGGAGTCTGCTTGGGATTCTCTCTCTACCTCTCTCTGCTCCTCCTCTACTCTCTCGCTCTCTCTCAAAATAAATAAACTTAAAAAAAATGTGTGTATGACCTGTGGAAAGTACATTTGTATGCCATAAGATTATAATGCAAGTTTTTATGCTCACCTAGAATTGTTATGTCTTAGTAAATCAGATCTGTGTTTTTGTGGGATGTTTTTCAGGGAACATATTTTCAATATCATAGGAGCATTTGATATTCCACGCTTTGTGTACAGTTCAGAAAGAAAAAAATTTCTTCCGTAAGTATATCATCTATTGATTTTAAGCTAATTTCATTAAAAAAATTTTTTTTAATATTTTATTTATTTTGAGAGAGAGATAGAGACAGCGTGAGCAGGGGAGGGTCAGAGAGAGAGGGAGTCACAGAATCCGAAGATAGGCTCCAGGCTTTGAGCTAGCTGTCAGCACAGAGCTCGACACAGGGCTCGAAACCACGAACCATGAGATCATGACCTGAACCGAAGTTGGCTGCTTAACCGACTGAGCCACTCAGGCGCTCTGATTTTAAGCTAATTTCACATAGACATTTCTTGCAAAAGGTGTACAGCCCATGATCCATTTTTAGCCTACCTTTGTGTATGTACTGTGATAGTTATAAATAGGCATTCCTTTTTTTTCTAGTCTATTAATGACCAACCACCCTGCACCAAATGTATTTGGAACAGCAAGAGATAAAGCAGAGTTGTTTCGTGAACGATATACCATTTTGCACCAGGTAAGCTGAGGGTAGAAAACGAGACTCCTTAAGTTTAGGTAAGATTCAGAGTTAATTAAAGGATGAAATTTTGTGACCCAAAGTTTGTCATTTGATAGACTGTTATTGGCCTGTGTTTGAGACCGGATGGAGGATATAGTCAGCAATTAACAATTGTGATGATAAAAATAGCAGCTAACATTCATTACCTGCTTTTAACATGCTGAGCACTGTTCAGCACGTTACAGACATTACTCACCTCATTTAATCATGACAACATCAGTGTACGTATAAAAGCTATTATCCTCATTTTACAGATGAAGAAACTGAGACCTAGATAAATTTAGGAAGTTGACCAAAGATCATATAAAGTTAAGTACAGACAGGATTTGAATCCAGTTTATCTGACTCTGGAACCCGGCTTTTGCCTTCTACACTGTACTAGCTTCTCGCAGTTTACAGTCTATGAAGTTAAAGATGTTTGCACAAACAAGATATAAAGTAGAATTTTATGTGCTGTAAAAGAGATATAAACAGAATGTATTCATTGGGAAAATCAGGGCCTTGGGCTGATTTTTAAAAAAATCAAATCAGGGCTTTGATTTTTAAAAAAAAATTTTTAATGTTTATTTATTTTTGAGAGAGAGAGAGAGAGACAGACAGACAGACAGACAGCGTGAGTGGGGGAGAGGCAGAGTGGAAGACACAGAATCCGAAGCAGGCTCCAGGCTCTGAGCACAGACAGGGGGACCGCACTGGAGCAGCGGAAGCCATCATTCACGATGACAGAGTGGATGTGAAGGGGAAGGCAGAGAGTAAAGACTCAAAGATGATTAAGGTTTTGAGTCTGAGAGAGTAGGACAGTAGACTAATATGGTAACAAATAAGAAAAAGAGAATGGGGAAGATGACTCAGATTAAAACAGCCGGTACTGTTTTACACATTTTTGAATTAAGGTTGCCAGCAGGAAATCAGGTGAAAAGTACATATATTGCTCAAGAAAGAGATGTAGGCAGACAGATTTAGGGGACAGCTGCCCAGAGGAGGAACTGCAGGGATGGGTGAGACCCTATGAGAAGGAGAGAAGCCAGTGGGGAGAGAAGGGAAGAGAGGAGAATTGGGGGGCCAGGGTAGTGGTATACAGCAGAAGCTTAAGAAGGTTTTAAGGACAGGATGGTCAGCGCGAGTAAGCTCTGCAAAAGGATGAAGAGAGCGAGCCCTGAGGATGCCTGTCCTCTCCTGCTTCCATCTACATAATGTTGCCAGATCAGTCTTCCTTGATGTGTAGCTCTGGTATCGTCATGATTTTGCACAGAAGTCTTTCAAGGAGGTTGCTGCCTTTTGAATTAAATACAAATTTTACTTAGTGTTTGAGATCTTCCACCACACCTTTTTGGCCCAAATCTCTACTTTTCCTCTAATCATACCGTGCTGGAGCCAAAAATGAAACACATAATTCTTCTTTCTTCTCCTTCTTCTGTAACTTTGCTTATACTGTTCACTCTCTGGACTGCTCTTCCGTCTTTTCTCTGCTATTGAAACCCTCCTAACCTTCTCAAATTCCTCCTCTTTTCTGAAACTCTTCTTTTTTAAAAAAAAATTTTTTTTTTTTAATGTTTTATTTATTTTTAGGAGAGAGAGAGACAGCGTGAGCAGGGGAGGGTCAGAGAGAGAGGGAGTCACAGGCTGAAACAGGCTCCAGGCTCTGAGCTGGCAGTCAGCAGAGAGCCCGACGCGGGGCTCGAACCCACGAACCGCGAGATCATGACCCAAGCGAAAGTCGGACGCTTAACCGACTAAGCCACCCAGGCGCCCCTGAAACTCTTCTTGATGAGTCGGATGCAGTCTCTTCCTACTTTAAAGCATCCTACTTTAAAGACTGACCATGTTGGTCTGTCTTCTACCTTATTTACTGGAGTTGGACCTGCCTTGTGTTCAGGGTGCTTATTCCCATTATCAGACACTCCTTGTGTATTTTGTCTGCCATGCTTGCTTGGCACAATGCTTTTCATAGAGAAGATGCTCAAGGAAATACCACATTTCTTTTTTCTTTCTTTCTAAAAATTAGATTTTAAAGCCAATCATATTATTTTGAGTGTGTCACTTAACCCTTCTGAGCCTCATTTTTTCTTACCTGTGAAATAAAAGGGTTGCATTTTAGTCCGTTCACACTTTTATTACGTTAGCTTCTGAAAGCAAATCTGATGTTACTATTATCCTACTTCAATATCTTTGTTTTCCATCGCCTATCAGATATACTTCCAGGCTTAGCATATAAAGTCAGTATTGTCAGGGCTCTTCAATTGGAAGTTACAGAAACTCTAACCGACTAAAACAGAAAGAGACGTTTATTGGCTTGTGGTGAGGTCTAGAGGTCCACCAGTTTTAAGCATGGCTGGATCCAGGATTTCCCACGTCTTGAGGCATCCAGCTGTTTCCATCTCTTAGCAATTTTATAAAAATTGATTTTACTTTCAAACACATTCTCCCTATGAGATGACAGAGGCCCCTTGTAGCCTTAGCAGCACTTGGAAAGAGAGTTCCTTTTTTCTGGTAGTTGTAGCAAAGGACTCTTAGTGGCTCTTAGTTTGAGCCTGGACCATTCACTGGCCAAGAGATGGGGTACTTTTTCACTGGGCCTATTTACAGAAGGGGGAAGAGCCACCAGCCTCGCCTAAACCACATGGACCACAGTGGGGCAGGGGACATGGTTCCCTAAATAGAGGCTCTGGCTAATCACCTGGCTTGTCTGACATTCTGCTTTGTGTACCTCAGAAGCCAACTATCCTCAACTTTGCATCACTTCTCAAATACTCCTTTACTCTTGTCTTTCTTGTGACATATCCCTTCCTCTGCCTGAAATGTCTCATCTCAGCCTCATTTGATTTCTTACCAGCAAAGTCTTATTTATCACTTAGGATCGGATTAAATGCCCCCTTTTGCCTGGGGTCTCTTGTTGTATGGTGGCCCTTTTCTTTCTCACAAACCCCTGTGCTTTCAGGATAACATGTGGTTTATTGTGTTCATATCCTCATCCCAGAGTGTAGTGTTGGCAGCTATACAATAGAGCTTTTTCTGTAAAAAAAACTTCTTTGAAATAATTTTCTTATTTTCAAAATTACATTTCTAGGTATTTGTATATTAAAATATGTGGGCTTTCAAATTTGCCGAGAATAGGCAATAGTAACATTAGTTTAAGGACAGGGTTTTGACAGAGTACTATTTTAATGAATTTTCGTTTAAAATGTCTGATTCAGTAATTCATGTGACTCTTTCTGTTTTATAGAGGACCCACAGACATGAATTATTTACTCCTCCAGTAATAGGTTCTCATCCTGATGAAACCGGAAGCAAATTCCAGGTTAGTTATCTAAGGGGTGTAAGTGTACAAGTTAAATATTTGTTGCTTAATTCTTACTTATTGAAATTTAAATGAGAATGGCTCATTGGTAACTTAAGTTTAGTCGGCTCATTGACCTGTGCATTCTCACTGTTGAGAAAGACCAGCCTCCGTGTCCTGGGTCCTGCAAATCTCTACTAGAAGGTACCACTTCCTTCTTTTGGACAGGCCCTGGGACACCTAGCTGGCTTGGTTGGTTAAGTGCTTGACTCTTGATCTCAGCTCAGGTCTTGATCTCAGGGTCATGAGTTCAAGGCCTGCATTGAGCTCTGCACTGGGCGTGAAGCCTCCTTAAAAAAAAAAAGCAGCGGGGAGGGCAGGCCCTGAGACTATGGTAGCCCCCAGACAGTCTCTGGCCACCAGCGCAGGTCCCTAGTTCCTCTGGTCCATTTGCTGGATATGACACTGGGTTTCTAACCAACTCTCAACATTACCCTTCCTGCTCTCACTCAAACTCCAAAATCCTGGTCCCTGTCCAGCCCATCTCTGTAGTGACCACCCCACACTTAACGCATCTGAAATGTGCTCTGTCTGTTGGAGTAAAAAATTTACTTAAGGCACTAAGGAAATACCGTTTATAGGATAAATGAGATAGCACAAACAGGCCACAGGGCTGCTGGGGCCTGAGGAAGAGGGGGGAGGGAGAATGTTTTCTGTCACACGTGCTCCTTCCACTCTTGTACTCCCGTGCCCTTCGTTCACTTGTTCCAGCAACACACCTAGTCACTGTCGCCCGTCTGTGGCTTTATTCTCTCAGCACACAGAGCCCTGCCGGGGGACAGTCCTTTGCTACTGCTAGGCCCTGCCATTTCTCTGAGGTTCCTTATAGATTGTGAAGAGGCCCAGCCTCTATAAGGTTCATCACATTCTCTGCCATGACAGATCAGAAGTCATGATGATGAGTAGGCTGATAGACACTAAAACAGTAATACTGCATAATGCGCAAATAATGTTTGATGGTAGCACCCTAGGGAGAAAACACTTATAGTGTTTGACAGTTTCTGCTTTTGACTTTTATTATTTTTTAATGTTTTATTTCTTTCTGAGAGAGAGAAATAAAACGTCTGACTTTGGCTCAGGTCATGATCTCACAGTTCATGAGTTTGAGCCCCGCGTTGGGCTCTGTGCTGACAGCTCAGAGCCCGGAGCCTGCTTCAGATTCTGTGTCTCCCTCTCTCTCTCTGCCCCTCCCTCGCTCACACTCAGTCTCTCTCTCAAAAATAATAAAGATTAAAAAAATTTTAAAAAACAAACAAACAGGGGCGCTTGGGTGGCTCAGTCAGTTGAATGTCCGACTTCAGCTCCAGTCATGATCTTGCCATTCCAAGTTTGAGCCCCACATCAGGCTCTGTGCTGACAGCTCAGAGCCGGGAGCCTATTTCTGATTCTATGTCTTCTTCGCCCTCCCCCACTCATGCTCTGTCTCTCTCTCTCTGTCTCTCTCTCTCTCAAAAATAAGTAAACATTAAAAAACAATGAAAAAACAAATGTTAGTAGTGATTATTATGGGTTAATTATATATGGGTTGATTATATATGACTGTTTCTTCCTTTTCTATATTTTTAAATTTTTTGAATAGTAAACAGGCATTATTTGTAACAAAGAACATATTTTACAGATGAAAGAAGCTTCACTTGGTAATTCCTATAAAAATGAAAAATTATACACTGTTTCATTCAGCAATTCTCTTTCTGGAATTTGTAGAAGTATGTCCAACAGGCATACCCATGCACTAGGCCAAGAGAGGTGCAAGAAACATTAAGCACTGTTTTTACTATCAGAAAACTGAGCAACATGTCCTTTAATAGTAATTTGGTGACATAAATTATAGTATATAAACTGTAGATATCTATATCCATTAAAAAGAATGAAACATCTATACAGAGTTAAATAGAATGATCTCTAAGAGATAATAAATTTAAAAGTTAAGTTGTATAAAATACAAAAAATGTGGTTTAATCTTTGCAAACAAGACAAAAACTGTGTTTATAAATTATATATGGGTGTATTAACATATAAGTAGGATTATGTCTAGTAAAGCATCAGAAAGGGTTTTTAAATGGTGCTCCAATTGTTACTACCTTTAACTTAATGATAAAAATATAGTGGTCAGATTGAGAATGTAAATAATAATGACAGCCCTTTGAAATGCTGGTATAACTTTTTAAATAGCTCACTAATTTGTAAGATATATTGACCAAATAAATAAATAAAATGTATATTATTTTCTGTATTTTAAAGGTGAATGTACTTATCATTATTCAGAATATAGTAGTCCCTCTTTATCCAAGGGGGTATGTTCCAGTGATGCTTTAAAGCACAGATAGCACCAAAACCTCTATATCCTATGTTTATTCCTCTACATACATACCCATGATAAAGCTTAATTTATAAATTAGGCACAATAAGAGATTAACAGCAACAATAATAAAATAAAACAATTATAGCAATATACTATAATAAAGGTTATGTGAATGCGGTGTCTCTGTCAAAATATCTTGCTGTACTATACTCACTTTACGATGATGTGAGATGATAAAATGGCTACATAATGAGATGGGAAGGATGTAAACTTGACATAGCTTTAGACTACTATTGACCATCTGCTTCCAGATCACGGTTGACAGAGGGCAACTGAAATTATGAAAAGCAAAACTGGATAAGGTGGAACCTCCTGTGATATGGGATGAAATTTCATTGCCAAGAGCCTGAGTTGGTATTTTAGCTTTTTATAGGATAAATTATATTTTGAGTTTTATTTGATTTTCTACTCTAAAGTAGGTATAAATACTGAAATGCGCACCCACAGTTCACTTATTTTTTTTTAATGTTTTATTTATTTTTGAGAGAGAGAGAGACAGCGTGAGCAGGGAAGTGTCAGAGAGAGAGGGAGACACAGACTCTGAAGCAGGCTCCAGGCTCCAAGCTAGCTGCCAGCACAGAGCCCGATGCAGGGCTCGAACCCTTGAACTGCGAGATCGTGACCTGAGCCAAAGTCAGATGCTCAACCAACTGAGCCACCCAGGCGCCCCAAAGTTCACTTATTTATAAAGAGTAGTTTCTTCAAAGGACGAATTTTCAGCCTTTAAGAATTTATTTTGTCTCATTTTAAGCTTAAAACAGTAGAAACCCTATTGGGCAGTACAACCAAAATTGGAGACGTGATTGTTCTTGGAATGATAACCCAGTTAAAAGAGGTAAGTTAAACTTAATAACCATCATACTGTTTCAGCCTTTAGACTGATGAAATGTCAGTTCCGTATAGCATTTATGCAGAAGGTACAGGGATGTAGTCTTCACTGAAGGCTCCTGCCTCAGTTACCAAGTAGCCTTTGCATCTGCATTTGGTTTCCTGAGTAGACATCAGGAAGGAGTATCTTCGACAGGCCACCAGTTTGCATAGCCTGAAATTAGTGTGACCTGTGCTTGAACTGAGAGTACTGAGTTTCTGAACAACCAAGGTTGCAGACCACATCCTACTCCCTCAGAGAAGGACACTGTTGACTCTCTTAGGTATAGGCACCTGGTGAGGCCCATATGGCCGCCACCAAGCATCCCTCTTGATCTGCAGAGATCATTCCCCACGTACCTGTGAGGAGTCTCAGTCTTCATTAAGTGACTAATCTGAGGCTACCAGACTAGCAAATGGAAAGGCCTGGACCAGGAATTGCTAGTTTTGAAAAATCCACTGTACTTTACTATATTCTGTTGTCAAAGTTGTCAGTATTTTAATTATTTTGTCAGAGTATCCATTATTACATAAATGTGGACATATTTCTTTTAACTTTTTTAGGGAAAATTTTTTCTGGAAGATCCTACGGGAACAGTACAACTGGATCTTAGTAAAGCTATATCCTTTATTCTTAAATTTTTTTTAAACTATGTTATATGAGTTGGGGATATTGATTGATTACATATCATTCTCAAGTTAATGTACTTGGTTTTCTATTGTATCTTACATATGGTGATGATGCAGGAATCCAGACATTATCCTAGCCAGAGATAAAAAACAAAACAAAACGAAACATTAATTCTCCCTTATTTGGAGAATCCAAGCAAATCAGTGAGGAAGTTTATAACATGCTAAGAATGATCTGAACAGTCATTATTACCAAGCTACATCTTAGAATCAGACATGGCAAAATTTAAACCTAAAAATTTTTAAGCTATGATCTATTCACAGTTTCAGATATGCAGTCTTTGAATTTATTAGTTAGAAGTCCTTTGGGCCCAGAATGTATGTTGACTTTATCACCACCTCAAGCATAGAAATAGAATTATTTTTCTCAACCGTTGTATACCAGTTCCACAGTGGTTTATACACAGAGTCATGCTTTGTCTTAGCAGAAGGTAAGTCAGTATACTTTTTTGCTGTCCTCCTCATCATTCTATAATAAAACCATTTCTACATTGGCTAAAATGTAGTAACATGATATAATTTGGGAGAACATTGTTTATAAAAGCATACTTTTGACAACATTAACTGAGACTGGTGATGGGCCTGGGGTTTCTTTTTGGGGTGATAAAAATATTCTGAAATTAGTGGTGATGGTTGTACAACTTGTGAATATACTAAAAATCACTGAATGCTATACTTTAAAGGGTGAAATGTAATGATGTGTGAATTACATCCTAGCAAAATTGACAAAAAAACACAAAACATTTTACATAGAGTCATAAAATGAAACATTTCCCAATCTCTGTACCTTATGTCTCTGTACTCTAACATGTATTGTGATATTAAAAAGTGAAAAGTTTTACTTCTGAATCTGTTTCTATTTCCTGACTTTTTTTAAAATAGAGAACTGAGATTGCCTTTGGATCTGAAGCTGTTATGTAGCTCAGTGGGACTGGCAACCTCTGTAGTTAGTTGAAAGAAGATGAGACAGTAACTTGGCGTTACTGCTTTGTGTTCAGTGCTTCCTTCCTTTCAAACAAGGAGAAATGGACAAATGAAAGTGATTTGTTACTTATCTTTTCTCAGGTTGGTTTGAAGATCAGGTGTTTCATGTCAATGCCTTCGGATTTCCACCCACTGAACCCTCTAGTACTACTAGGTATAAAATGTTTGGCTAAAGCCCTACAGAAATTTTGTAATACTGGCTGTAGTGACTGTAAGAGTGTGTATCATATTTCAGTTATTCAGGCTTTGTGTCAGAATGCAAGAGTAATAGAAAGTTAGAGCTGGAAGACTGGGCTGTATGTGAATCAGAAAACTAACATATTGATTATTCGCATCTCCCTACCTTGGCTTTCATGGGAAAGATTTCCAGTCTTCCTGCCTAGCTTATCTATGGGGTTGATTAGAAGTTCAACTGAGATAAGAGATAGGAAAACACTTAATATAAAGCCTCATTTTTCTATTAATGATTAAAAGTTACAAGAGGCAGATTAAAAAGCTCTTTAATGTAAACAAAAGCATCATAATGTTAGAGCTATCCCCAAGGGACCTTCTGTGAGACGAGAGAGTTCCCTGTCATCAGGGTTTTTAAAAATTTTTTTAATTTTTAATGTTTATTTTTGAAGGAGAGAGGGACAGAGTGTGAGCAGGGGAATGTGGCAGAGAGAAAGGGAGACACAGCATCCAAAGCTGGCTCCAGGCTCTGAGCTGTCAGCACAGAGCCTGACGTGGGGTTCGAACTCATGAGCTGTGAGATCATGACCTGAGCTGAATCCGGACGCTTAATGACCAAGCCACCCAGGTGCCCATCACTCTGGTTTTTGAGCAGAGGCTAAATGATGGTGTAAAAGTTGTAGCTGGTGGCCTGTGGGTTGAATGTAGTCTAAAGAGCGTTCTTTCTTTTTTTCCCCTTTGAGGTATTAAAACACATTTTGTTTCATTGTTTAAAAATTAAGAGATTTCTCATAAAAGTCTAGATTTCTGTTTCCTCTTGAACAACCAGATCTGGCAACATGGTTCTGAATTCTCCCCCAGCTACCACTCTACTGCAGTGATCGCCTTCTTTGGGCAGGGTATGTCGGTGCACCCTAGCTCATATCTAGGAGGCCTCAGCTGGTCGCTGCTTTGTTATTTACTATTCCCTTCCTGAAGCCTGTGAGCATTTGAGTTTGCTACCTCTGGGGGAATTAAATCTTCTAATCTTGAGATTCTGTCTACAGTAATAGAGATTTCAAGAAGCATACGAATTAAGATTTTAGTCCTAGTATACCTGTATAAAATCAAGGTCCACAGGCCACATTTGCTGGCTGGGAGTTACTGTCAGGGCTGCTTCTCTTCCTGTTGAAGTAATCTATGGGAAAGTGCTGGTCATGCAAATGAGGACACAGCCCTCATCAAACCAGCTCACTTTTAAGTGAATGCCTTAAGTGCCAGTTTGTGGCTTTTTACAACATGGTAGCTTTTCTTTGGGATATATTTAAAGCAAAATTGCTGTTGTTTTTGACATTTCTTTTTCATATAGGCTTCAAAATTACTGTTTTGGAATGAGAGGTATAATCAAGAAAGCTGGCCATGAGCAGTAACCATTCTGTTTCAGCCTCACGCAGAGCCTGCCAGAGGGTGGAGACGATAGGGGGCAGTGCAGAGTAGCGCACGAAACTCCGATCCTGGTTCTTGGACAAACTGAGCACTTGCACCTGTTAACTGGGACGAGCAGCAGACAAATCACTTAACCCTCCTGAACCTCATTTCTTTCTCTTTTGTAAAATAAAGAAAATAGAATCTCCCAATATGAGGTTTTTTTTTTTTTAAGGATTTAGGATTATAATGTGAGATATGTTTATATATGTACATAATTTACTTAGGAACCACATAATATATCCATCCCTCCATCCATCCACCCAAGGAGAGTGTTTCTTTTTATGCATGACTTACACATGTTTATATCTTTTTTTTTTGACGTTAATAATGGACACATAGGTTGCTTTCTAACCTCCAGATTTTCATAATTCTGCCATGTAGGTGAGTCTTTATAGACCTCAGAACAAATTTCTAAATGTGGAATTCTTTGGTTAAATGGTTAGTACTTATTTTGGGCACTAGATATTGTTTAAATCAAATTCCCATTCCTCCTACTTTCAATTACATAAGAAGCTACAATTTATTTTAATGCTTGCTTTAGTCAGTTTTAAAAGACACAGAAACAGCCAATTAAGTATTTATTCACTGCTTCTATATTTCTTTCTTATTTTAGGACATTTAAATAAACTTGTTTGCATTTTAAGTGCTACAAATAATACATTTTCATGGTACTATTTACACTGATGGGAAAATAACCTCAGGTAGAAGGAAACTAAATTAGTAAAATTATTAGAAAAACATCTCCAACATGGGGTGCCTGGCTGGCTCTGTCTGGAGCGTTTGGCTCTTGATCTTGGGTTGTGGGTTTGAGCTCCATGTTGGGTATAGAGATTACTTAAAAATAAAATCTTTAAGAAAAAAAAAGAGAAAGGAAAGCATCTCCAACAGAATATACAATAGCAACTAATAATTATGTCATAATTACCTAGGGCATACTATGGAAATGTTAATTTTTTTGGAGGACCTTCTAATACATCTGTGAAGACTTCTGCAAAACTAAAACAACTAGAAGAAGAGAATAAAGATGCTATGTTTGTGTTTGTATCTGACGTTTGGTTAGACCAAGGAGAAGTGTTGGCAAAACTTCACACCATGTTTTCTGGTGGGTGCCATTCTTTTCTACCCTTTTAAACTTGTATGAGGGGTCATGTCCTAAAAACTAAATTGTTAAAAATGTATCTTTTTGAGTAGTCCATTTTCTTGTAAATGTTGATTCAGCAGTGAGATATTTTCAATGAGTCCATCTTAAAAACTTAAATTTTTACATTTGAAAAATAACTGTGTGTGCATGCGTGTATTTATGAGAAATAAGAATTAGTCCTAAGTATAGCATGGATAAGTAAGAATGGACAAGAGCTTGGGGTTGGAGTCTGACAGAACTGGGTTTATTTATTTATTTTTTAAAATGTTTATTTATTTATTTTGAGGATGGTAGGGAGAGAGAATGCTTAGCAGGCTCTACGCTGTCAGGGCAGAGCCCATGTCAGGGCTGGATCTCATGAACCTGGTGATCATGACCTGAGCTGAAACCAAGAAATCATATGCTCAACTGACTGAGCCACTCAGGTGCCCCAGAACTGGGTTTAAATTGCAGCTTGATACCTTGGGCAGGTTACTTAATCTCTCTCTCAGTTTATAGGGATGTTATGAGAATCAATCTATTACAGGGACTGGCATATAGTAAGGGTTCAATAAATGGGCAGTATTGTTACTATTATTTAAAAGTAATGGCTATTAAAATAAATTATTATTAAACTAGTAAGTTATTAAAAACTCATGGTTAGGGGCTCCTGGCAGGCTCAGTGAAGCATGTGACTCTTGATCCTCAGGGTCATAAATTCAAGCCCCATGTTGGGCCTAAAGTTTATTTAGGAAACAAAATAAATGAAAGAAAAACCTCATGGCTAAAGGGTTTTTAATCTGATTTCTAGACTAGAAAAGTGATATTCATCTTATTTTCTTATTTTTAGGTTATTCACCAGCACCTCCAACCTGCTTTATTCTGTGTGGTAATTTTTCATCTGCACCATATGGAAAAAATCAAGTTCAAGCTTTGAAAGGTATTGAAGGTCTATTGAATAGATGTTTCTACATTTATATAAATGAAATTGATAAGAAATGATCTATAATATTTTAATTTTATTTAAAAGATAGACTTATATCTAATCAAATATAATTTGACTTTTATGTGCATTACATGCAAGTGAAATTTAATGTCCCTTTAAAATTTTAGATTCCTTAAAAACTTTGGCAGACATAATATGTGAATATCCAAATATCCACCAAAGGTAATGATTTCTACTGCTATATTTTTAAACTTTTTTTTAGAAAAACAAGAGATGAATTCTGTTTGATATCCATGATTATTAAATGAACGGAATTAAGGGGCGCGTGGATGGCTTAGTCAGTTAAGCGTCCGACTTTCGCTCAGGTCATGATCTCGCGGTTCGTGGGTTCGAGCCCCGCGTCGGGCTCTGTGCTGACTGCCAGCTCAGAGCCTGGAGCCTGTTTCAGAGTCTGTATCTTCCTCTCTCTCTGACCCTCCGCTGCTCACGCTGTCTCTCTCTCTCTCTCACTCTCTCTCCTAGAAATAAATTAAAAAAAGAAATTAAAAAAAAAATGAACGGAATTAAAATTTGAGAAAATTAGTATGCTAAGATAAAATTATCCTGACATCATGATAATGTATGTTATACTGTGCTAGAGATTTATAGTGAAAAATATTGAAAAGGAAGAGTGATACTTTCAACTATATTTTTAATATCTTGGTGACAGTACTTTTTTAGAGCTATGCTTTCCAATAGGATAGTCACTAGCCACGTGTGTCTCTTTAAATTAAAAAAATTTTTTAACGTTTATTTATTATTGAGAGACAGAGAGAGACAGAGCTTGAGCAGGGGAGGGGCAGAGAGAGAGGGAGACATAGAATCTGAAGCAGGCTCCCGGCTCTGAGCTGTTAGCACAGAGCTTGACAAGGAGCTCAAACCCACAAACTGCGAGATCATGACCCTAGCCAAAGTCGGACACTTAACCGACTGAGCCACCCAGCCGCCCCAAAATTTAAAGTTAAATTATTTAGAGGTGCTTGGGTGGCTCAGCCAGTGTCCAGACTCTTGTGTCCAGACTCTTGATTTCGGCTGAGGTCATGATCTCACCATTGTGAGACTGAGCCCTGGGGCTCTGTGCTGGTGGTGGAGCTTGCTTAACATTTTTTTTCCCTCTACCCCCACCCCTTTCTTCTCAAGCTCACACGAGCACCCTCCCTCCTTCTCTCTCTCTTTCAAAAAGTTAAAGTTTAATAGGGGCGCCTGAGTGGCTCAGTCGGTTAAGGTCTGACTTCGGCTCAGGTCATGATCTCTTGGTTTGTGGGTTGGAGCCCCACTTTGGGCTCTGTGCTGACAGCTCAGGGCCTAGAGGCTGCTTCAGATTCTGTGTCTCCCTCTCTCTCTGCCCGTCCCCCACTGATGCTCTGTCTCCCTCTCAAAAATAAATAAATACTAAAACAATTTTTTTAGGTTAAATATAATTTAAACACTAGTCACAGTTCAAGTACTCAATAACTGGATAGTACAGATAAAGACATTTCCATCACTGTAAAAAGATCTGCTGGACAGTGGTAGCCTGGAGACTTTTAGTAGTTCATTTATTAAAATGCGTGGAATTTAAAAAATATTAAAAATGTATCATTTAGTTCAAGGTAGTAATTTGTCTTTAGACTACTGGATAGTATTGCAATAATTTTTTTTAATGAATTATATTGAATTTTGCTACAGTAGTCGTTTTGTGTTTGTTCCTGGTCCAGAGGATCCTGGATTTGGTTCCATTTTACCAAGGTAAGTTGTGTTTAGATTCTTCTAACAGTTAAAAGTATTTTGTCAAATTTGAAAATATATTCTGTACCACATAAATTGTTTTTATAGGCCACCACTTGCTGAAAGCATCACTGACGAATTCAGACAAAGAGTACCATTTTCAGTTTTTACTACTAATCCTTGCAGGTAAATATTACCATCTTGTGTTATGCTTTTCTTCCTTTCATTTCAAAATTAACTTGCTTCTTTTTTTTAAATCTTTTTTTTTTTTTTAACTTTTTTTAATGTTTTATTTATTTCTAGGAGAGAGAGAGAGAGAGACAGCTTGAGCAGGGGAGGGTCAGAGAGAGAGGGAGTCACAGACTGAAACAGGCTCCAGGCTCTGAGCTGGCAGTCAGCACAGAGCCCGATGCGGGGCTCGAACCCACGAACCGCGAGATCATGACCTGAGCGAAAGTCGGACGCTTAACTGACTAAGCCACCCAGGCGCCCCAAAATTAACTTGCTTCTTAAACTTTGTCTCTGAACTTTCACTATTCTGAGGTAAACATAAAGAGAAAATTTGTCATTATTTTAGGTTTCTCAAAACTTTAAAAATATTTTATCACTGGGCAACTGGGTGGCTCAGTTGGTTAAACGTCCGACTTCGGCCCAGGTCATGATCTCACGGTTTGTGGTTTGAGCCCCATGTCAGGCTCTCTGCTGTCAGGGAAGAGCCTGCCTTGGGATTCTCTCTCCCTTTCTCTCTGACCCTCCCTGACTTGTGCTTTCTCTCAAAATAAATAAATTAATTAAATTAAAAATTTTTTTATCACTATTGAATTCACTAATAATGAATTTAGAAGCTGAAAAACAGATGGAGATTTAAAAATCAATATTCTCATTACACATGGAAGAATGAAACAGATTATGTATTTACTGCACATGCCGCTCACCGTAATCAGAGGCTTTTACCCCGAGTCCTTGGGTCTCCTCTCTTTTCTGCCTATATTTACTCCTTTGGTGACCTTAGTCACTCCCAGAGCTTTCAGTACCATCCGTGTATTGACAACTCACACATTCATTTATAGCTTCAACTCCAACCTTTCTCCCAGACTGCGGGCTCGTACATCCAGACACCTGCTCACCATCCCCCTGTGGGCATCTGTAGACAACCTCACACTGACCTTCTTCCCACCCATGTCAGCTCCCAACCTGTTCTGTACCCTTCCTCATCAGAGTTCATGGCACCTCTGTCCTTCCAGTCGCTCAGGCCAAAACCGTTTGGGTTTCTCTCACATGCAGTGTTACAGGAAGTCCTTCAAAAATGTGAAGGAAGACCAAACTATACGCAGAATCTGGCCCCCTCTCACCACGTCCGCCTCTGTGACCCTCTACCGTCTGCTCTCGCCTGGTTTACTGTAATAGCCTCCTCGTTGGTCTCAAGCTTCTACCCCTGCCCATCTGTAGTCTGTTCTTAACGCTGTGTCGCAGTGATCCTTTGACACCTACGCATGTCACGTCCTCCTTATTGATCCTGAAAGATGGGACCGCCTCATGCCATTCGGTGACAGCCCGTATCCTTGCAGTGGTAGTCAGGGCCCTGCACGATCTCGCCTCCTATTCCGCTCCTCTCTTCCTCATTTATTCCAGTCACTACAGCCTCCTTTCTGTTCCTAGACGCGCCAGACATGCTCCATCTCGGGGCCTCGGCTGTGGCGGCTCCCTCTGCCTGTCGTGCCTTCCTCCTTTGCCTGCAGTGTTCTTCCTCTGCGTATCTGCTTGACTATCTCACCTCCTGCACGTCTCTGCTCAAATCAGACCCCATTATCAGCCCTCCCTGTTTTCATCATCCTATTTAATACTCCAGCCATCTGGCCCTGCTTTCCTCACAAATGATCCCTGATAGCCTATTTTTCTTTTCCGCATACACTTAGTCCTCTCCCAGCATCCCATATAATTATCATGCTTATTGATTATTTTCTTTGACTGTCCTCCTCCCATTAGAATATAAACTGCATCAGGGCTGGGATCTTTTTGTTTTGTTCACTCATCCTTATGACAGTGCTGGACACATACGGAGAGCTCAGTAAATCACTATCAAACAGATGGAAGGATAGATTCTAGCCGGATTTTTGCTGTGGTAAACGATGGGAAGTGGGAACGGCTTTGTATCATAAAACATTTTGCCTTTTAAACTGTCTCCTATTTTTTGTTCAACTACTGTTTTCATTTCAGAATTCAGTACTGTACACAAGAAATTATTGTCTTCCGTGAGGACTTAGTGAATAAAATGTGCAGAAACTGTGTCCGGTTTCCTAGTAGCAATTTGGATATTCCTAATCATGTAAGTTAAGAGTCTTCTTTATTGGGGCGCCTGGGTGGCTCAGTCTGTTAAGCATCCGACTACGGCTCAGGTCATGATCTCACAGTTCGTGGGTTCGAGCCCTGCGTCGGGCTCTGTGCTGACAGCTAGCTCAGAGCCTGAAGTCTGCTTCAGATTCTGTGTCTCCCTCTCTCTCTGACCCTCCCTGCTCACGCTGAGTCTCTTGCTCTCTCAGAAATAAATAAAACATTAAAAAAAATTTTTTTTAAAGTCGTCTTTATTAAGCTATCTTAAGTGTTTCGTTATATAAAGTCCTGTTAAGCCACTTAATAATTTGCCCTTTTATGTTTGTTTATGGTTCAAAATACTTTTGCCAGTAAGTTAATTTTTGTTACTCCGTCAGTGTTTCTCAACTTTCTCACTGAGGTATGCACTAATGGGCAGAGGGAACCCCAGAATGAACCGGAAATGCCTTTGAGTCTTCCTGTTTTGCCTTAAAACTCATACATCTTACATTGTACTTCAAAATATATGTGTATTTGTTTTAAAAAATGTTCACCTCGGGGCGCTTGGGTGGCTCAGTTGGTTAAGCATCCGACTTCAGGTCAGGTCATGATCTCACGGTTCATGAGTTTGAGCCCCACATCGGGTTCTGTGCTGACAGCTCAGAGGCTGGAGCTGAGGGCCTGCTTCAGATTCTGTGTCTCCTCTCTCTGACCCTGTCTCGCTCCTTCTGTCTCTCAAAAATAAAGTAAACGTAGGGCGCCTGGGTGGCTTAGTCGGTTAAGCGTCCGACTTTCGCTTAGGTCATGATCTCACGGTTCATGGGTTCGAGCCCCGCGTCGGGCTCTGTGCTGACTGCCAGCTCAGAGCCTGGAGCCTGTTTCAGTCTGTGACTCCCTCTCTCTCTGACCCTCCCCTGCTCACGCTGTCTCTCTCTCTCTCTCTCCTAGAAATAAATAAAACATTTAAAAAAAAAAGTAAACGTGAAAAAAATTTTTTTAATGTTCACCTCATCACGTTTATTATTTTATATGATCTATCCACATCAGGTGGGCGTATAATGTTTACTTATAGCTTCAGAGTTCCCTCCTCCCTCTACCATGTGCCACTCCCATGCACCACTTTGGGAAATGTGGAACTACATCTTATAGAGCATTTTTAGTATTTAGAATTTATTATTTAGTATTTAGAAATTATTTTTAGACGAACATAATTATAATAACTGAGCTGATTATACAGTTAAAAGTACAATTGTTCCAATATGACTACTTTGGGGGAGTAGCTTTTATGATAAGTGGTGTTAATTGAAAACTTACACATTTTTTTCTAAAATCCAGGATAGCTAATTTCATTTCATATCAGTGTTTCCCACAGTTCTGATTTAAACTTCTCCTAATTGTTTCTCAAATTTTCTGAGTCCTTCTGGTGATTGATATTTAATCTAAAATTATTTGTTAGCAATTTTAACTCGAACAAATGAGCTGAAGTTTGTTTTATATCATTCTTTTGTAGTTTGTAAAGACGATCTTATCCCAAGGACACCTGACCCCTCTGCCCCTGTATGTCTGCCCAGTATACTGGGCGTATGACTACGCCCTGAGAGTGTACCCTGTGCCTGATCTCCTGGTCATTGCAGACAAATACGATCCTTTCACTCTGACCAATACAGAATGCCTCTGCATGAACCCGGTAAGAATATCATCAACGTTATATGGGTGTAGTTTGTCAAGACTGGAGTGTTATTTCTTTAAAGTAAAAAATTTAGTAAAATCACTGTTGGGAGTAAAAATATGCTAGTAATGAAACACTGAATCAATTTGGTACACACAGAAAGTTCTTCCAACTTTCAGGATAGCATGTGACTATAAGGTAATGTGACTTAAATAAAATACACCAAAGCTAATAAATCCAAATGAGTATTTTTCCCCTTCAGAGTAACTTACCTTATGATTCCTTTCTGGGAATTGCTTTCAGAGCCTGCATCTCATTCTTTTTAAATATATTAATGTCCTTTGTGGATGATTTTGACTGTTGGAAATGTGTGCAGGTCCGAGAAGCCTAAGTTGGATGAATGTGGGAATTCTTACCGCAATACAGTTTCTACAGAAGTAGGATTGCCTCGGGGCACCTGGGTGGCTTAGTCGGTTAAGCGTCCGACTTTCGCTTAGGTCATGATCTCGCGGTTCGTGGGTTCGAGCCCCGCGTCGGCCTCTGTGCTGACTGCCAGCTCAGAGCCTGGAGCCTGTTTCAGTCTGTGACTCCCTCTCTCTCTGACCCTCCCCTGCTCACGCTGTCTCTCTCTCTCTCTCCTAGAAATAAATAAAACATTAAAAAAACAAAACAAAAAACAAAGAAGTAGGATTGCCTTTTCACATCTGGGGAATTACATATATGGAAACCAACTTGACAATAAACTATTTAAGAAAACAAACAGACAAAAAACAAATTTGGGGAATTACTGAATAAACATTGTTGATGTGATGCAGACTATCTTCAATAGTGATTTTTAATCTATATGCTTCTTTGATTCTTGTCAATTTTCAACCTTAATACTTTTTTGTTTCATCCAGGCCATTTCTAGAAACATCATGACTTACTATTGGTTACTGCTTTCCTCAAACACTCATTTATTTTTTCCAGCTTCCTCTAAGACAGGGTTTCTTACCCCTGGAACTGTTGACATTTTGAACCAAAGAATTTTTTGTTGGGGAGCACTGTCCTGTGCATTGGAAGGGTACTTAGCAGCATCCTTGGCCCCTCCCCACTAGGTGCCAGTAGCAACCCCCAGTTTTAACAGTGGGAAATGCGTCGGGATGTTTGCCAAATGTCCCCTGGGGGACAAAATTTTCTGTGGCTGAGAACTGCTCTGAGGAGGGGCACAGTCAATGAATTTGGTTTCACTGTTGGAAATTTGTGGCCTGATTTTGTTTAGAATCTTTATTCACTTTTCCAATATTCTTTCACAAAGGAGGCTATGTCTTTACTTAAATTCTACTCTTTGGGTGTTCTCGTAGTTAATGCTTTGTTTGATAACACCTTATTTTTTAATTTTTCCACTTTCTCATCTGGTAGGCCAGTAAACAGCCCCTTCTACACCATCATTATGTCTTTTTTTTTTTTTAACCTTATTTATATCTTTTGGGCAAGCCCAAAACTTGCTTTTGACATTGCTTCATCCCTTCTTGATACTTACTCATACTAATGAATGCCTGTAATGGGCCAGACGTTGAGTCGGTGCCAGGGACATAGACATTGAAACAAAAAGACCGTTTCTGCCCTAGAGTTTAGTAGTGGGCAAGTTGTGGGATTACTGCTCAGTTGCTTTGGGAGCACCTGAGAGGGGAATGAACACAGATTTTTCACTGGAGAGAGAGAGGCAGGAAAGCTTACTTCAACATGATGTTTTAAGTGTCTTATATGCGAATGTAGCATCGCACAGTACAGTCTTTCTTACGCTGAGTAGAGTTACTCCTAAGCATTTCCAGATACATCCGTTAGTAGAAGACTAAGCAACTTGACTTTTGCTTCAAGTGGAGCCGTTTTATAGTAATACCTTCTCTCAACAAAGATCAGGGGGAAAAATCTGTCTCATGACTTTATAGTCACATCTTATAACTTTATTTTTAAGTCATGAGCAAGGAAATTGATTTTAAAACTTGGATTTTTTTTTTTTTTTTTTTTTAATAAAAGTTGAGTGTTCACTTAAGGTCTTTTTTTCTCCCAAAGGGCTCTTTTCCAAGAAGTGGATTTTCATTCAAAGTTTTTTATCCATCCAGTAAGATAGTAGAAGACAGGTAAGTGTGCCCCCAGAAACAGCAAGGAGCAGCTGTCATTTGGCATCGTACTGCTGAAAATCAGATGTCCTGTAGGTGTGCTGAGGTTTTCAAAAGTGTCTGTAATGGTCCTTTGGAATGTTCTAGGCTGGACTTCTGGCCATGCTGTGGGACATAGAATTGTATGTACTTGATGGCACGTTTGTGGTAAAATAGATTCAGAACTGTTTTCTGAGGGATATCTCAGACCAGCTCTGTAGGTGGGTTAGTTCTTTTATAGGCTGACTCCTGGTGACATCATTCTTCTGAGAGGTCAGCCCTGCCCTCCACTGGGTTGATTTTCAAAACCTAGGTAATCTGTCTTAAATTGGCAGCAAAGAGGTGGGGTGGGGGAGAACTGGATGTGTGTGTGGTGATGGTGAGGGGTTGGGAGGTTGTCTTGGGAAAAATGAATAATCACCTGGGGCGGGGGAGTGGTTTTCAAAGGGTGATCTATAGACCACCCTCATCCAAATCTTCTGGGATCCTTGTTGAAAATGGTAAGTTTCTGGGTTGTATGGGTGGCTCAGTTGATATAAGCAACCGACTCTTGATTTCAGTTCAGGTCATGATTTCAGGGTTTGTGAGTTTGAGCCTCTCATCAGGCTCTGTGCTGACCCTGCAGAGCCTGCTTCGGATTATCTGTCTCCCAAAACAAATTAACATTTAAAAACAAAGCAAAACAAAAAAGTTGTGTCTTAACTCACCCTGGCTGAGGACACATACCCTGGTCATGAAGGTGGTTTTCCCAGGCCCAGACTTATCCATTGCACTCCAGATGTGCCAACCCCTGCGATATCCCCGAATGTGGGAAGCCCGGCTGCACAATTTGTGGCAGTGGGAGAATGGGTTTGTGCTCTCCCCGAGGGGTCTAAGATCCTACTCCAGACCTATCAAATGACTCTCTAGTTGTAGAGCCCAGAAATATGAATTATTGACCCTATTTCTCTTGGACTCAGGCATCCTAACATGCGATTTCTCAGTTAATCATATTTTGAAAATGCTCCCACCTTCAGATAAGAACAAGTGACCAAGTAATTGCCTTCCAGGTTCTTGTCAGAAAAAGTAATCTTAAACACACAGCCCAGTTGTCTTTCATTTTTTGGGGGTAATTAACATCTTTATTCAAATAAAAACAAACATGAGTACATGATAAAAATTTCAAACAATGTTTAAAAGTATAAAATTGGAAAGGAAAAATACATATGCTTCCTAACCCTGAAACTGTGATTAACATTAATTCTTATATACTTCTTGAAAACAAAAAGTGCATTGTTTTTGCTGCTCAATACTAATGGAGGATTTAAGTCCATTTGCTTAATGAGATATTGTAAATTTTATTCTTGGATTCATTCATTTGACATATATTTGACTCTTACTGCATTCCAGACACTGCTTAGTTTTTGGAATGAATACAGCCAGACAGATAACTCCCATTAAGGTCTCAGATATTCCAGTCTATTCTATAAGCCCAACAAATGTTTGACTTTACCTAGCCCACACTGAATTCTAAAAAAACCAAAGTGATCTGGAATGCCCTTAGGTAAGAGCAAGCACTTGTCTCTAGTCTCAAGGCTCCCTATTACCTGGATGCCCCTGAGGGCATTTGATTTTGCCATCCCAGGATTAAGTCATCTCTGAGGCATGTCTGCCCGGAGCATATTTTGTTCACTTTCAGAGTGACACTTACTGAACTGAGGTTTGATATGAAAACTTGCTCTGCTGTAAAAACCAGTACTGGGAACTTTCAGCAGATCTCGGGACGAGAGAATTCTCTCTGTCCCAAGTGACTGTTTATGTTTACCTTAGGGGAGACTGAGTCTTTAATCAACTCCCTTTGCTTTAGCTGCTAGGAAGTACAGCCAGATGTGTAGCCCACTTCCATAGTGGCAGAGGAATTACTAGCATTGGCCGCAGCTCTGGCTTCATCTTCTTCTCTGACCTGTATTTCACCCTTGAATTTCCTCATATACTTTTATCTTTTAATTATATCTATCTGTGCAAGCCATTTTATATTCTTTTCTTTAAAAAAAATGAGTCAGGATATAAATAAGTAAATCACAATAGGAAACTAACTGATTTATTAATTATGATAGCACAAGACACTTCAGCTACGTTTCTGGTAACGTTGCCTGATTGCCACGCAGAATTGTTTGTGTTCTAAGCACTTTGTACAGAACTCTGTGACAGTTCCTGACATTATTGTATTAGAAGTCACGTGTGTACCCGTCTCCTTAAAAGCTTCTAGCATAGCCTTTGACTTGCAGTTGACGCTCACGGTTAGTTGAGTTGAAATAGTTGGTTCCTTTATTTTCTATGGACTCAGATGCTGAAAAGCTTTGACATGATTTCCAAACTGTAATTTAGTAGTGATAATCGAAGAAATCTTTGCAGTGCTGAATCAAACAGGTTGATGTACATTTATTTTCAAGAGAACAGAAAATAATTTGAAGATACAGTAGAATAATTTGGTCTTCCTGCTAAGTTTCTCTTAAGGAATCATTTGGTAGATTATTTGTGAAATCATATTATAGAGTTAATCACAGAAACTATCGTCAAAGTAAATAAGATTAACCCTGTTTCAGCATGTACTCTCACATACAGTTGTTTATTATAACACACAGTATTGACTGGGGCGCCTGGGTGCCTTAGTCGGTTAAGCATCTGACTTCAGCTCAGGTCATGACCTTGCAGTCTGTGGATTCAAGCCCCATATTGGGCTCTATGCTGACAGCTGGGAGCCTGGAGGAGGCTGGGAGCCTGGAGCCTCCTCCAGATTTCTGTGTCTCCCTTTCTCTCTGTCTCTGCCCCTCTCCCGTTCATGGTCGGTCACTCTCTCTCTGACTCTCAAAAATAAATAAACATTAAAAAATTTTAAAAATAAAACACAGTATTGGTGCTGTAGTAGAAAAATAAACATCCATTTTCACACATACTTGGTCAGAAGAAAAAGTGGTGAAAATCTTTATGGAAGGCAATTTGGCAGGATTTCTTAAGACCTAGACTGTATATACCAGCGACTGCATTTTTAGGAATTTACCCTCCAGGTACACTTAGGCTTATGCTTAAAAGCAGGTATTGGTGTTTTTATTGTAGGTTCTGTAATAGCAAAACAAACAGTTTAAACGTGTACCCATTTAAATGTGTGTACTTCTTCAGAACTTTTTGAATTTAATTCCAAAGCCTTAAAGGAAGGATTAGTTTAAAAAATCATAAATACACTTATTACTAATTGAAAAAAGGTAGAGAATAGTGTTCATTGTATTCTACCACTTATGCATTTTTAAAGCATATGCCCCAACAATACATGCTTACATATAATGAGACTATCTTTACAAAGACAAATTGCTTCCGGGAGCAGAGATAGACCGTGAGACTGACTGATTTTTCACTGTGTCCTCTTCTAAATTTGGAACAATGTGCATGTAATGACCTATTTTTAAAATTAACTACAACTAAATATTAAAAATGTATAATAAAGTTTCCAAACTATTTAATTTTATGAATTTCTATTTTCAGCAAACTGCAAGGTTTCTGAGATTCTAAGACCATCCGAAGACAGAAAATTCATCAGTTCCTGCTTAATTTTATATTTATGTAATTTTGATAAGTTACAATAAAATTATGATAAACTCTAGAATGTTCTTAAATTTGTATTTTATGAAATTTCGGTATTGTTATAATAAACACTGTACACTTTACAAAGTTTTAGAACAAAAATATTTTCTGCATAGTCTTAACAATGTGAAAATATGTATGAAGATACCGGTTATATATAAACTTATGGTTAAAAAAGGAAGTTTTAGGGTGCCTGGGTAGCTCAGTCTGTTGAGTGTCTGAGTTCGGCTCAGGTCATCATCTCGTGGTTCATGAATTCAAGCCCCACTTTAGGCTCTGTGATGACAGCTCAGAGCCTGGAGCCTGCTTTGGATTCTGTGTGTCCCTCTCTCTGCCTCTTCCCTGCTCCCACTCTGTCTTTCTCCCTCTCTCTCTCTCTCTCTCTCTCGAAAATAAAATAAAAAAAAAAAGAAGAAAGAAAGAAAGAAAGAAAAGAAAAGAAACATTAAAAAATTTTAAGAGACAGACAGAGCATGAGTGGAGAAGGGGCAGAGAGAGGAGACACAGGATCGGAAACAGGCTCCAGGCTCTGAGCTTCTGAGCTGTAAGCACAGAGCCTGATGCGGGGCTCGAACTCATGAACTGTGAGCTCATGACCTGAGCTGAATTTGGCGCTTAACCAACTGAGCCTCCCAGGTAGCCCCCCAAAAAAATTATTCTAAGTTTCATTATTTCTTGTCTAGCCATATGCTAATATTCATTTTAATAAAAAACAAATATTTAAAATTTTCTGAACCTTTGTGTTAGTCTAACTTAGGTTTTTATCATCGTAAGAGTCCAAATAGTATATTCAACAATTTTCAAACTTTAAATTTCAAGTCGCAGAATTTATTCTAATGATAGTGAAAACCTTATGTCATGATATTACTATGATAATCATTTCATAATTATCTTTTGGCACAGGAAATTTAAAAACACCTAGTTCCCCTAGATTTTACATTTAGAAGACACAGCATATATTTTAACACCTCTCCCTCATGTACCTTTTAGTTTATGGCATTGTAACAATAGCCTAGAAATTAATGTGAATGACAGGAAGTTGTTAGAGGTACACAGAATTTTTCAAATGTAGGAGTATCTTAATATTACAAAGAGGCTGGAACGGAAGATACTTCTTTGAAAGAAAATTAGCTTGTGGGGGAAGAGAGACTTCTAAAAAACAAAAATGACATATTGAAGAGAAAATTCCTCAAGGAAATTTAATTTGAATGTAGTGATAAGTGAATTGGTAGTTAAGAGTGAAGTAGCAATTTAAGAAGTGGGTTGAGGATAGAAAATTTGGGGAGAGCATTAGTAGAGGCTTGATGTTAGAAGAGCAAGATTTAGCTTTAATTTCAGGAATAACCTAGAAAGGGGTGCGTAGGTGGCTGTCAGTTAAGCGTCCAGCTTTGGCTGGGGTCATGATCTCATGGTCCTTGAGTTTGAGCCCAGCGTCAGCCTCTCTGCTATCAGCACGGAGCTCTCTTCAGATCCTCTATCTCCCTCTCTGCCCTTCCCCCACTTTCTCTCTCTCTCTCTCTCTCAAATAAACAAACATTAAAAAAAAGAGTAACCTAGAAAAAGTTAAAGGTGCAATCAAGGCATAGGGTCAAAAGCTATATATATTGCTTGGAAAATTTACAATTTGGGCCTTCAAAGTGAGGGGCGCCTGGGTGGCTTAGTCGGTTAAGCGTCCGACTTTCGCTTAGGTCATGATCTCGCGGTTCGTGGGTTCGAGCCCCGTGTCGGGCTCTGTGCTGACTGCCAGCTCAGAGCCTGGAGCCTGTTTCAGTCTGTGACTCCCTCTCTCTCTGACCCTCCCCTGCTCACGCTGTCTCTCTCTCTCTCTCTCCCTCCTAGAAATAAAAATAAAACATTAAAAAAAAAAAATTAAAAAAAAAAAAAGTGGTAGTAAAATAAACACCGTAAGGTTGTTGGTTCGGTTATAAGAACCAGAGCTAACTATGAAAGACAATGGGTGGAAAGTTATAAATGGAAATTGATACAAAGTTCTCTCATTCATTAACTCCTTCATTTAACAAATAGTTGTTTCTATAAAAAGAACTTTTTAAGATCTTTTTACATTTAATGGCTAGAAAGACAGGGTGCATTTAGGAGTTAGCAAGGTGAAGTGAAATGAAGCAGGGTAGTTAACTATGGAGCAGAGAAGTCGCCAGAACCAGGCAAAAAGTATTAGAACAAAGTATTGTTGTGCCCGAATCGTGAGTCCCCAGAGACCTCCAAGGAGCTGACACTGATGCAAGTACAAAAGGGTCTTTATTACAAGGTTGAACAGGGGCTCACCCGTCTACCGACACAGCAGGGTGAAGTGACGAACAATAGCGAGCAGGGTTTTTAAGGGGTAAGGGATGGGGATGTTACAGTACGTATAGCATCATCATCTAAGCACCAACCATAATTGTATAGCACCCATGGCAACAGCTTTGACCATTCTGTATCTGTGAGGTGTCCGTTACTTTTGGCGGAACCCAATCACGACCTTTTGAGACTCTTTTGAAAGTGACCGCTCATGAAGTGAGTTAGGCAACGGAGAGTAGCCCTTGTCTCAGGCCGCGGGAATGTTTTTAACCTTACTGATTGGCTGATCCAAGGGTAGTTTCGGCTGAAGCTTTTCCTGGGACTGGGGCTATGTGCAGCCCGAGGTTGCTTTTAATGGAGGTCTTAATTTTAAAATGGCGTTACTTAGGCTCTTCAGTATTAGAATAAGTTCTGGTTCTAGGAACTAAAACTGGGTGGGAATCAGCATTGTCCTGAAATGAAAAACAGATGTCTGAAAAGATGGAGTAAAGGAACAGCACTGAAAGGCTATCCTGGGCTGCTTTGGGGAAAATCAGAGGGGTGGTGTGCTTCCTGACTTGGTACTGGAGTGTGGCCGACCTCACTGACCTCACTGCAGAAATGTGGGTACGGGGCACTGTCATAGGAAGGCGTGCCTTAGAGCAGGGGCCAGGTAATTCACAAGACGGGAGTGGCTAAGACTTCTCTTCTATGGGAAAAGCGAACACAGTGTCCTGTGGGGAAACCACAGGAGATGCAGACCGGAGCGTGCAGGTCCTCCTAAGGGTGGCACCTGCTGCCATTCAGCATCAGCCAGTCTAGCCACCCAGGAAGCCTTGCCCAGTTGGTCATTTTGGAGAAATCTGCATTGTCAGGGAAAGCATCCTGACTTTTCAAGCACTGGTGACTAATTTAAATCACAGTTTGCACCAAAGACATGATTACAGACTGGACTGTGCCCATGAATTGCTTTCTCTGCCTTACAAGCACAGGAATTATAATCTTGTGGTCTATAAAATACACCTAGTATTTAGGATGATTTGGGTCCCCATCATTCACTAAAATCTATTGTGGAATTGACTGTCTTCTTATAGTGAGGAGGCCGCAGGCAGGGTAAAATTAAAATGGAATGTTTCAGTTCTGACCTTGTGCACATTCATGTGTTTTCTGTGGAGCGTAGGCCCCCTTCCACCATAGTCAACCACTAAATCTCCATTTTTATTGTTCTTATACTTTGGGCTTTATTTTTAGACAAGCCTTCTGAATAAAAAGGGGGGTTGGGTTTGAAAAGGGTTGGGAAACTACCACTCTAATTTAATACATTGTTAAATGTTTACCATGATAGGCACTGAGCATAAGGGCTTATTCACTGTACAATTTAATCTCCATTAGGTCACCATCACCTTTAATTTATACACAAAGAAGACAGGCACTGAGAGGTTAAATAAGTTGCCAAGCTCACACAGCTGGTAAAGATCGGAGACAAGTTGACTCCATATTGTATTATTTCCCTTCCACTCTCTTACTGAACAGTAATTCTTACTCCAAACTACAAACATTATACAGGATCTTCTGTCTAGAGCTTGTCAGTGGGTTAAAATAAATAGGTCACATCAGAATAGAAAATTCTAAAGTGTTAAGTATTGTTTCATGATTCTATTGTTTCAAGCCTGTGCCAGTCAGGAGTTGGCATGCTGTCAAAGCTGTCTCACTTGCTTTAGTGGATGTCAGGCCATCTACTTTGGACTTCTACTTCCCAAAAGAATGTTCCTGCTGGTCTCTAAAGAGATCTCAATTGTGGGGCACCTGACTGGCTCAGTCAGTAGAACATGCAATTCTTCATCTAGGGGTTGTGAGTTTGAGCACCATTTTACTTACAAGAGTTTACTTACAAAAAAAAAAGACTGCAACTGCAGTATTTGTGGAAAAATAAGATAAATCTGTTTCCACTAAGGGGTAAAAATTGATAATGGCATAATGGCATAATCACATCCTTCTCATCCAAAAGGCATTCATATTTTAATAAGGAGAGCCTTTCCTCAATGGATGACTTTTAGGCCAGAGATCATTTGTTTTGAACACCAGAGCTTTCCCACAACTCCACATTGTCTTTTATCAAATAACTTCTTTCGGGAAAGGGACTGTCATGAAGAAATTTGGCAAGGGGTGGGGCTTGGACCATTCTTAGAGATTTTAATGAAAGCTTAAGGGAGGGACCTCTACTCAGAAAAATTCATATGTATGAGCCTATCAACACATATAATTTCACATTATAATTTCAGAGGGTTCAGGAACTCTGAAGGCCATTCCCATTTCTCAACAGTCAGGTGTGGTGTGTTGTCATTTCTGTACTATGATGTGTTCATGTTTGGAAATGACTTTAAGATGAAACTAGTCCAGAATTTTGAAGTTACAAAGGTAACTTAAAATAAGTTGAAACTAATCACTGGTATGTTCACTGACCAATACGGTTAATAGAGAAGGGTATAATTTTATGCATCCATTACATGCCTTGAAGATCTAGAATTCATCTTTATGCCTCAAAGCCATTTCAAATATAAATCTTTAAGACCTAAATGACAGGTTATTTTTAAACTTTTTACTGAACAAGTTCAGAGTAGAAAAATTAAGAGATACAAGTAATCATAAAAAATAGTTTTAATGATCCACAATTTCAGCACCAAAGATAATGTTACTATTTTGGTAGATTCCTTCTAGAGTTTTCTCTATGCATACATT